AGGAGAATCTTGGCGAATGTTGTTGATTCTTTGTGCTACTCCTCTCCTTAACATCCCTGTGTGGTGGCGGCGTGCCGTCCTCCCATCCCTCCCTTGGGTTGTCTGTTTTCTTTCTTTCTTTTTTGTGCTACCGATCAGTGTGCCTGTGGTAGTGAGAGACTGCCAGCGGGAAGCTGGAGGCAGGTCACTAGACTGAGATGAGACCGCCAGTGGAGTTGGGAGCCCACCGTGCACCGCGCTGCGAGCCTGTCGTGTCCCTTGTCAGGAGCAGGAGAGCCCCACCTGTCCCCCTCGACCAGGACAGTCCTGCTGACGGGAACGTGTCGCGCGCCGGCGACGGTTGCGGCGTGCTCGTTGTGAAGCCAAGATGGCACGACCACCGCCCTGCTTCGCAGACCGGGCAAGGAGGGGCCTGCTCCCGTTCCGCGAGGAACAGGAGGTCTCCCCCCCTCCCCCGGCCTGAGCAGCCACGGTGGAAGGCAGCCCCTTGAGTCGAGGGCGGCGCGACCATTGCCGAGCTCCAGGGACCAAACAAAGGTCCGGGCGTCTGCTGATGGCCGCGCCGCCCCGCTCCGCGCCGCCCGCCGCCGCGCCGCGCCGCCGCCCGATGATTCTTAAGTAATAATCACGCCAGAAAGAAAGAAAGAAAACAGACACGCCGAGCCAGGGCGCTGTTGCTGGTGGCTTTGTGTTCTTCTGAGTGACATGGCGATTTCGACCTCGGCGACGCTGCCCACGCCGCTCAACGCGGACGTAGTCGCCTTCTGCCCGGAGTCTGGGCTCCACCACGTGCTCGCATGCGGCTGCTACGAGCTCGACAACACGCAGCAGCCCGCCCGCCGGCACGGGCGACTTGCGCTCGCCTTTGTCGACCGCGCCGGGAGGCAGCTGGTGGAGACGAGCGCCGTCGAGGGCATCGGCGTGCTCGACTGCAGCTGGCTGCAGACGTCGCGGCTGCTCCTCTCAGCCGCGACGGCGGCCTGCGACACCCGTATCTACCAGGTCCACAAGGGTGCCGATGGCACAGCAACGCTTGCTGAGGAGGCATGTGCGACGATGCCGTGTGCGGATGCGGGCGACGCGTGCATGGCGCTCGACTGGTCGGCCGACGCCTCCCGCGTCGCCGTGACGAGCACCGCGGGCCGCGTCTATCTCGGCGAGTTGGGGCAGTCGTCCGGCGGCTGCAGTGGGCTGTGCGGGTCCGCGTCGTGGCGAGCGCACGAGCTCGAGGGTTGGGCCGTCGCCTTCGACCCGC